CCGACTCATAGGGCCCCTCACTGTCAGAGTCTGGTGGCAGCTCCAACAGCTCCTGCTGGGCCACAACATGTGTGTATGTATGTATGTATGTATGTATGTATGTATGTATGTATATGTATGTGTATATATATATGTGTGTGTGTGTGTGTGTGTATATGTATGTATATATTTTTTGTGTGTGTCTGTGTGTGTGTGTGTGTGTGTGTGTGTGTGTCTGCTTGTTCCAGCATAATTCTGGAACGCCTTGAGCAATTTCAACGAAACTTGGTACACAGATGACTTACCCTCTGGAAAAAAAAATACTGTGGGGGGTAAGACACACCTAAAATCCCTCGGGGAGGGGGGTGTTCTGTTAATATATAGCCAGTTACTGTACTGCTGTAAAATGGCTTCTATGTGCAGCGTAGTGGAGTTGCGATGGTAACGCCTTCACAGTCCTCCAAAAGGGGAAAATCCAACATTAGAAATTACATTTGGTCCACATGAAACTAATATTTTTCAAAGACATTTCCCCCCCTTTAAATAAATACCCCGGCAACGCCGGGTTATTGGCTAGTATTAAGATAAAACACGTTATAAGCTACATAATGAGTGACTTTCGAGAGAGTGAATACTTGCAAATGTGAAAGTAAAATTGGAATCACGGATAGATGGCTGATCAAATATAGTCAGTTCAAGTGATTGTTGATGTCATCATTCCAATGTAACCCTTTAATAGAAGCTGAGCTACTTATTACACTGACTCATCATAAAAACAGTCCAAACCTGCCAATTTGAAATACTGAAGTCTTTCTTCCACTCTCTCGCCTTAAAGACAAAAATAGTTGAACTAATCTGGTAAAAAATTACTTCCCTTTTCTTGCCTTATCCATAATAAAGACATTTCTCCGGGAAAAATGAAGTTGTAGCCTTGACTTTTTCCTTGCTCTCATTTTTCCCTCCTGCTTGGGAACATTGAAAAATATTATCTTCATGTGGAATAAACTCTGGAATACTTAATTGTATCTCCATGATAAGAATACTGTACATATTATATAACATTACGTGTTTGGCAATATTTAGTAAAGTGCGTATGTTTGTTTGACATACATATCCCTGTGATTGTGTATAATATAGTAGTCCTCTCTTATTTATTAACCCATAAACGTGTGAGTTATAGTTGTCATTGGCCTTCCCTGGCATTTTGATTGATCATGTTGATTGAGAATAATAATTGCAATTTGATGCATCTGGGAAGGATTGGGTTTGGAACCTGAATATGACAATATTATCTGTTTTGTCATCACATACTTTATTCATTAGCAATGGAGATCCGAAGTTGATGAAAAAAGAGAAGTATTCCATGCCTTAGAAGATGAACTCCAGAAAGCGAAAGCAGTTAGTGATCAGATGTTTAAAACACACAAGGAACGCGATCTTGACTTTGACTGGCACAAAGAGAAAGCAGATCAGTTAACTGAGAGGTGGCAAAATGTTCATTCTCAGATTGAAAACAGGTTGGTATTTTCTTTTTTAAAATTGTGTTGACGAGACTAAACTCAACAAAGTGAGTATAAAACAATCTCATTGCATGATACCGTAGTGTGTCAATTGTGAATTGATGAGACCGACTATGGTTAGCTGC